CAGCCATGTAAATGAAGATTTTCATAACAAACCTCACAGATGCCATATGGCTCTAATAGTCTCTGCAGTGCAACCATCTTGTCCAAATCTCCAGTAAGCTAGAAATCATGCAAAAATATCCATTAGTAACAATATTCAAAATACAACATAGACGTTCCAACAGGGGAAAAAATAAAAGAGGAGGAAGTAAAAGAATCAGAGGTCAATAAGAACTAAGTCAGTAAAAAAAAAAAGTTGCAAAAGAAAAGATACTGAAGTAAATGCAGCAAGGAAAAAAAAAAAAATCAGATCATGTTCTCTTTTCTTCAATAATCAGACTAACGTTTATGACAAAAAGCAGTAAGCTGTTAGTTAATATAACCATGCCCGTGTCAGAAGGGCATAGTAATGAACTTGATAGTGACCTCAACAGATTTGCTTATAATGTGGTGACAGCAATTATGGGCTTCCATCATTTTTCGGAAAACCTCTGTACCCTCCCCAAAAACAGAAACCAATTAAGAACATCATATTTCAAATTGAACAAAGCACAACAACATCAACAGAAGTTTTGTCCCACCGAATGGGGCCATCTACATGAATTACACAATGCTACCGTGCTTTGTCCAAGACTAACCAATAAGTCATTAACTGAGAGATCTCACTTAATAACTTCTTTGAGCATCCTTCTTGGTCCCCCAATACCTATCTTCAAACGGCCAAAAACTATCTACTCACCCCTCCTTACTAGTGCCTCCACTGCTTTCTTTGCACATGACTAAACTATTTTAAATAATTTTTTACCATTTTCTCCTCAATAGATACCATGCTAGCTTGTCAGCTTATATGATTATTACGTATTTTATCCTTTCTTGTATGGCTACATATTTCATCTCAACATACTCATCTTAGTAACCTTAATTTTATGCTCATGTTCCCCTTTAATTCCCAATATTCACTACCATATAGCATTGCTTGCCTTCTAGTGGTTCTGTACAATTGTCCTTTAAGTTTTGTAGGGAACTTGTGATCACGTAAAACTCATTATGCCTTCCATTTCATCTACCTTCTTGTATCTTATGCATATCATCACCATCATCAATTTCACCGTTATCTTGTAGAATTGATCCTAAGTACTTAAACTTCATGGATTGTGGTATCATTTGCTCTTTGATATTTACCTCCAACTAATTTCTAGCTTGCCTCTTGTTAAATTTGCAATGCATATATGTCATCCTGCTCTTACTCAAGCAAAAGCCCTTCAATTCCAAAGTTTGCCTCCGTAACTCAAGTTTAGAGTTAACCTCTTCTCTTGACTCTATAACCAGGATTATGTCATCTACAAAGCACATGCACTTGGTGATTTCCTCTTGAATCGGCCCAGTCAAGATGTTTAAAACTAGGTTGAACAAATAAAGGCCCAAAGATCATCCTTGATGAAAACCAATCTCTATAGGAAAGCCTTTTGTTTCACCTCCAGTTTAAAATGAAGTAAAGAGAATATAAAGTTAAGAAGGAATTCTCTGCTTATTCAAACCTAAAATTATATTCATGACGATGAATAAGAAAAAGATAATTAAGCAAGGCGGGTAATCAATCACCATCACATCATTATATTTCTAACTTTAACCGGCGCCATGAATCAATAAAGAACAAGAACTCCAGGAGAAGCTTCAAATAAAGATTCTGACTCAACAGTTAGAAGTTCGGTTCTATCACTAGGTAAAAACCTACGAAATAAGCTATATTGGATCTACTGATAAATTGATGCCACCAATTTCCATCACTGATAAAAACCCATACGGCAAACTTAAATAATTACAGAAATTATAGTAGAAAACACAGCTCACTGCTGAGGAGGAAAGAGAAAAAGAAAATCAACAATTAGTTTCTGGAGTACAGCTATAGTGAATCATCATCAGGGTACACAGATCTTAATAATGATAATGAAACCATATGTTAAAAAGTCTACGCAACTCACCTCAAGGGTTATTGTATGATCAGATACATCAACAGCTTTGGCCCTAAAAATGCTTGCAATATCGAGGACATCACGTCTGGCGGCAGCATTTACGGCAATCTTTATTAGCATCAATTCTCGTTCAGCAAATGGCAAGTGGGTGATATCACGAACCTGCAAATAAATCACTTGAACATTTGTTTGAACCAGTATGATCAAGAACATCTACTCATAGAAAACCTTCAATTCCTACCATGGAATGTGGATATTATTCCTACAATCAATAGATGGATCATGATATTTGTCCAACATGATAATGTTAGCCCTTAACATGCCCAAAACAGCCCCCACCCCAACATAAACACACACACATATGTACAATGGCCAGAACACCAGATGTTTATTCATAATAATGCCTAAGATACTAATACACAGATTGAAACAAAAAAAGAAGCTGAGAAAGATATGGGCTTCAAGTATGAGATTCTAAGGTTTCTGATGGGCCTGTTGCTACTTGCAACTATAATAGGAGTGCAAAAGAAAGAAAAGGACAAAAAAGAACAAACGAAACCAAAAAAACATGAAAGTCCACTGTCAAAGAATTGAAAGAAATGAGGATGGAAGGGGGGAAGCTAACAAGGAGTAAGACAGTTATGGGGGTGAGTTAGAAAAATATGGCACTTACAAGGCTTTTGAGGGGGGAGTTATCAGGGGGAAAAAGTGGAGAAATTAGAGACAGAAGCTGGGGAAAGGGATAGACTAAAATGCTATTATTTCCAGTTCATTGCATTTCTGTGTCACTGATTATCTCTCATCGTGGTTTTGTATCCTCGTGTAGCATGTTGCATGTGCCATGTTGCTAATTTGTGAGGAGTAGTGTTGTATTGAAGAGTGTTTCTTCAATGCACATGACTGCTGATGAAAGAAAGGCCGTTAATCAGTGCTATTTTCCATCTCTTTTCAAGCTTTAATGTGTCAACTCTCGGCATAGAAGGTCCTATTCTTTTGGTTTTAGAGCAGGGAGATTGATACGCCCCAACCTATTACTGCTTCTTTGTGTTCTTTTGAGTTGATAAAAGAATCAGAGAAAAAGTTACCTTTGATTATTCTGCCAAAAATCTACAAAAAATTCTTAGTCTACTTGAACAATGGAGATGACTCATTCTCCAAAAAAAACCATACGGCACTAAATACAGTGATGTTAAAAAATGAGAAGCTCAAAGCCTACAGAATATATAATAAAATGTGATGTATTCACTCCCACAACTCAGAATTTGAACCTCATGGAGATCTACTAGTTTGTAGAGTTGCTGCACCAACTTGGCAATTGATTCATCTGTGCCAGGAACCACAGTTGTAATTCGAGAAAGTCCCTCAACTTCTGCATGTCCTACAGCTAAACTCTGGGAATGACAAAAGGGAAGATCCAACCAGATGGGAATACATAGGAACTTAAAAGGTTAGAAATATATCTATATAACTATAACCACATAACCAAAAACGAACAAGTATGATAAAGCAAACCTGAATGTTATAGCCCCTTCGAGCAAAAACCCCAGTAACAATGTTAAGAACACCAGGAGCATCGTTCACAAGCATGGATAAAGTGTGTGATCGAATTCCACTAGTCTGCAGGCATTATCCAATCAGTAAGGAAGCAACATGCATTTCATTCAGGCCACCCATGAACATTACAAGCTAATGCATATTGATTTGGCTGAAACAAGCTCTCCATTTCGGCTGTTACATCCTCAATACTGCATTTCTTAAAATTTAGAAGAAAACATTTTTTGGTTCTTTGAAAACACTGAATATTAGATAATAACAATAGACATTATAAATGGCACTCCCTTCAGTCCTAAATGTAAGACCTAGATGGCTAATTTATAGATATTAAGCAATTAGTTAAGTTGAATATTTGTAATAAATGTGTGTTCGTTTCCCTAAAATACCTCCTTTATTCATTACTACAATTAATAGAAACCCCATTTAATATATGTAATCAACAAAGATAGTTTGGGAAAAAATTCATAAATTTGGAAGGCAAAGTGAATTGAGATTTTACAACTAAAGCACACCTCTCAATTAGCCCCTGCATTTAGAACCAGAGGGAATACTTTCTTCTCTAACCCATTTATATTTATCAACTAGGAATTTCTCAAGTGAAAAAGTCTAAGTTAAATATGAAGATTCAGCGGTTAAAACAAAATTAATGATAATGGAATTAAAAGTAAATAAAAAATGCTTTAATCAAAAGAATAATCCAAACGGCATTTACAGGCATGAAGTGGTTTGAACTTAGGCAATTAGGCACTGAAATATTAAGATTAGGACTTTCATGATCTATCAAAAACAAAAAAATTGACAGGTGTACCCAAGAGGCCAAGACTGTCTAGTTTTTAGTTTATATTCTGGAATTTGGATAATTTTAGTTTTCAAAAGAGAAAGCTACAAAACCCAAATATCTTATAATGTGTATCCAATAAACCAAGCATAAACTTCAATACCTTTTCCTAAGAAAATTCAACAACAATTGCCTAAGAGAAGGCATAATGTGTTACACCTACAATGCGTTAAAAGGAGACAATAAAAAGTAACAAACTATCTTACATCTTCTTCATTGAGAACACCCCAGTGAGCATCAAGCACTTGATTGACTGTAAAGCCATCAGAAGGCTCTATAGGATAAACATCTCCCTTCACAAAAGCAGACACGTCAAGTTTTTTCTTTTTTAAAAAAAATTAAAAAAGAGTTAGAAAAGGGGGGGAAGTGTAACGTGCTTCCAAATAAAGAGTACAGAATGGACAGCAGAACTTGAACAAGCAGATGATGACATGCACTCGAGTCACAGTTAACTCTTCAGTCCATGCGGTAGTTACAAAGTGATGTCAGAATAAAGACCTGATCCCGGATATTTTGCCAAGAAAACTACAGTAATACTCAACCACCAAACTTCTATCAATAAATATCATATGCTGTATTTTGGCCCCAGAAAAAAATCATATGCCGTCTTTCTGCTACTAGCATATTGCGAACAGTAAAGAAGTAATGGCTGCCATGCCCTTCTCCATTACATTGGCAACTAGTTAAGGGTTGCCATGATTAAGCGTAAATAGTAGGCTAAGCTTAACTTGTTTTGATACAGACTTTTCACAAATGGGATTTTTCAAGGATATTCAATAAAGTTATCAACTAAATCTCTTGATTAATCGTATATCTGAAAAGTTGGTTATTGATAGAACAAAATGGCATCTTAAGATCTATGTAGCTAATCTAACCCAGTAGGATAAGACTTGTTGGAGTCTTTCTAAAAAAGGTTCCTTTTGCCTATTACAACGAAGGGCAAATATAGGTTTTCCTTTGTAGTAGTTTGGTGGCAGTTACAGTAAATACTTTTTTTCAGTGAAGCTATGATTGTCTTAAAAAAATAAATTCTACTAATACTGTTTCCAAGAAAAAAGTCTGGTTTTCTACTTCCATCACTTTGAAAAATCTTTGCAACCCTCAAAGAACGGTTTTCATCAGCTAAACCCCCCCCCCAAAAGACAAAAAAAAAAGAAAGGGCTTGGCCAACCATCTTTAAACAGCAGAATACCCTTTTTTTAAGAGTTGCACAGCAAAAACAGGCTATGTACATATATGGATGATATCCGGTAATAAAAACCATGGTTTGATTAGTATGCAAAATGGAATGGAACAAAAAGGAGAATAGAACCCAACAAATGATTTTGTGCATAAGAAATGTCCCTTGTAATCCTCAATTAAAAAATAAAGAAAAGAAGAGGATAACTACCGTTGAGAAATAATAATATAGGGATATAATAAATGTAGCATGTCTGGATTAACAAGTCAGAGAAAAGGAATATCTTTAATTTGTAACCAAACAGAGCATAAGTGACAAATTATTGCGAAAAAGAATATTTAAGGTTAAGAACGGAAATCTTACCCCCATGGTCATTTCATTTTTGGCAATAGGGTTTCTATTTTTCACACCCACCAGAGCATCAATAGGCATTTTTGCTTCAAGATCTGGATAAGAAGCAGCTGAATATCGCCAAAATGGAGAGCAGACGCACCCATTTTCTCTCTTCTCAAAGCAATCTAGCAGGAAATACATTAGATAACAGTGGCTTGGTACATATTCCATAACCTATCTATATATTGTTTGACAAAAAGGGCAACTGAGCAAGATAAAAGAAAATTTTTTAGGCAATCAAAATGAAAACTCAAACCTTTCCAGTTCTGGCTATTTCTTTAATTCCAAACTTCCTCAGATTCCTTTGGACTGCAACCATCTTACCTGGATCGCCAGTAACCTGTAACAGTTGGCAATAAAATTGAACTGCATTCTGGACAGACAGCACACTGAGAATGGCAGAAGTTGTAGATAACAATGGCAATGGTATTACAGAAATACATATTTGATGACAAGGGGGAAATGGACTTCATTAAATGCAATGAAATTGCAATAAAAGCATAGACAGGCACTGGATTGGTAAAAAATAAACAGGTCCAAGAACTGTCCCATAATGACCTCTATTGTTACAGAATGCTCTGAAATATCCACAATTTTAGCTCTGAAAATGTCCACCAGCCACTTTATCTGAGATTGAGAATTTTGAAAAAGAAGGAATTAGTATAGAGAAGCAAAGACGGCACTCAGCCACACAGACACGAGATGCATGTACAGATAAAACACCAACAAATCATTGAACAGTTACCTCAGCATGATGTTTTGGATCTGCATGCACTTTTATGAGCATCAGTTCACGTTCTACCTGGGGTTCTTTGGAAAGATCTTCTACCTGATCAAATGACATTACCACAAGCCAGTTAGAGAAGTCCCAAACTAATAGCGTGGGCAAATGTTTAAAAAAGATATGTGAATAATACTGAAGTTTGATTCCAGATAATTCAGCTGAAGACAAGAAACTGAAGCTAAATAAAAAGGGGCTTCAAGTGATGAGCAGAAACTCCTAAAAGAACGGAAATAAGCACTAATTAAAGTGCTATTATGGTCAGAACCATTAGAGCTCCGAAGGACTGAAAATAAAGAAAAAATGTGGATATTTTACCTTCCCGAAAAAGAACTAGCAGTTAGATCTAAAATTTGAAAACTAGTCTTTGAATATTAAGCAAATCAGATCTGATCCTGTTAGTAGTGACCACACTGATTACCAACAGTTCTGTCTCAAGAAATATAATTTTTTGATGGAATGCGCCTAAAAATAATTTATTAATAAGTAATTATCTAAAATCCTGTAAATCAAAACAGAAGCTAGAGGTCCCTCAAAACCTTTAAAACATTCACAAGCTTGTGAAGCTGCTCTACAACTTGTTGTAGCACCCTTTCAGTTCCAGAAACAACTATGGTGAAGAGCGCCTTGTCCTCATTCAGACCAACAGCAAGTGACTCAATATTATATCCCCTCCTTGCAAAGACCCCTGCAATCCGATTTATCATTCCACTCTCATCACCAACAAAAACTGAAATCGTATGTCGTTTAACCCTGCATTAATCATAAATGGCAACAAGTGAGCACAAGATCAGAATACATGAAAAATAATACTGATGAACCGCATTCATCTCATTACATTATGACCCTGTAACAACTTCAGGAGGAGGAGGAAAGTACATCACCCACCCCTATGGCATCTGGTTAGGTTAGGTAAAATAGCATCCAGCACCCTGATTGCACCCAGCACACTAATCTTATATATTTTTCTGGTGTTTCTAGCATGCTAATCTTATTTATAGCGCATCCAACACTATAAACCATAAATAAGATTAGCGTACTAGATATAACTGGAAAATAACAGAAGGAGGGGTTGGATGCACAAGGAAAATAAAATTAGAATACTGGATGCACCAGATCTAAGATTAGGATGTTAGATGCTACTAAGAAATAACATTAGGTGCAGGATGCTACTTTACCCTTGTTCTTTCTATTTCCAAAGTACATCTACCAATTGCGAAATTAGGCCATAGTTCATAAGCCTAAAATGTACTTTCCAACTGGAAACTTCTAATAAGAGCGGCAAAATTTAAAGCCTGTATCATGGAACTTGCAAGCTTCTTAAAGAAACTAGAATTTACTTTCCCTGGAAGCTGTTAATCAAGCGGCTTACTTGAATTGTAGCAATCACATCAGGGAAAGACAAGGTATCCACTCAGTTAATAAGCCTAATAATAACCAATCAAAGTGGGATTCTAAAAGGAAAAGCTTAATGTTATCCAGGAATATTGGATATTATTATTGTATAGGAGTCCTATGATAATCTTTCATACTTCTGTTTTACCTCTTAAATGTCAGCAAACAGTTATTCCTCTCGAAAAGTAAATAAACTAATAAAATGTCATGAAATAGCAGATGGTATTATGGCTGAGAATTCAATATTCGCAGACCATCATAATACAGTAGGTTTAGGATAGACATCACACTCAACCAGAGTCGGTTTCATTAAGAGGAAGAGGAAAATCGAACAGGAATACAACATATATGAGTGAACAAATGTTCTTTTTTTGCTTTCTCCAAAATAAATAAAAAAAAAGGTACGATTGCACTAAATACAATGTTGTGGTCGTCAGTCAAGAAATAACACGATCAAAAAGGCAATTTACGGTCTACAAAAAATGTAAATATACATCAACCAAAAAAAGAGTAAATTTATAACGAAAACATATCTTCTGAAAATACAGCGAATGCAATGAGGAAAGGGGAATGGAGAGGCAAAAACTTCATACTTTTACTCGAACAATAATTTCCATACATACGCTGATCGAAAGGAGGACGAGGTGGGCCCGTTGGAAGAGAACGTATCATCATTACTAACTTTGTTGTCAGTAGTTGCAGCCGAGACCACCAGTTTCTTGGTTCCGGAATCGTGAGGTCTTAGTACCAAAGTAGAGGATTTCAAGACAAGTGGGAGGGCTTTTCTCTGCGAAAATCCAGCATGGGAATGAAAGGTTTGAACTTGAGTTAATGGAACCGCCATTGTAGAAAGCCAAACGAGACAGTAGCCCGCAGAACACAATTGTGGCGGATTTAGGGATGGCTTTGCGAGTTGCGACTCGGTGCCCAGACTCGCTCCAGTGACGCAGACCACGCTATTGTTGGAGGATTAACCTCCAATTTTCTGTTCTTTTCAGTTTAATGTCCCTCCAAAATGTGGCAATATTGCGCGGCTCTATCAGTAAACTAACGTTGACTGTTAGCTCGACCTGTCACCTTATTTTTAATTTAGAGGATGTTGGTGAAAATTAAAATAACTTTAGAAGTGATTTTTCGAGACCGAAAACTCTCAAACACCCCTTAACCAATTGACTATAATCCAACTCAACAATTTTTAATCCTAACTGACATTATTCTCTTCCCTTTCTTGCTCCCTCTTTTCATTATTACCTGAGATGACAAAGCTGAGAAGATTATGCGCAATCAAAAATCCCAAGCTTTATGGACTGACTATTTGGATTAGAGATTAAAAAAGTAACTTATTTTTTATTTAATTTTAAAAAAATTAGATGGAATAAAAATTAGATTAAATAATGTGATTTATATTTTAATTGATTTTTTTAAATAAGCCAGTTTATAAAAATAGAGTTGTTTGGATTATTATTCAAAAAGTAAATTCAGCTATAAAATTACCAAAAATAAATTATATTAAATAATATATGTAAATAATTTATTATCTCTCTTCTGCTGGATTCTCTTGATGACGTCATTCTTGCGCGATTCGGAACGCGTCCGTTGGCATTGGGGACGCCGTCTTTTGAAGGTGAAAGATTGCGTTGCATGTTATGGCGTTGCAGCCACCGCCGATTAGCTTAAAGGTCGAAAATTTTTTTGTGAGAAAATGAGAAGAAAAATAGATTGCCTAGTTGTGATCTTGAGCAAAAGAATTAAAGATGATCAAGAAAGAGAGATAGAGTAAGGTAGTGGTGATTTGTGTGGCCATTGTTCAAAGCTGACAGCTTTATCATTTTATTGAGCAAATCGTGTGAGGCTAGTATGGTCTTCCCCGAAGGCTGTCCATTTCTGAGCTTTTTGGGTTCATCTGAGAAATGGAGAACGGCGAATGAACGAAAACTTTGGTTTTTGCCGTGAATGAAGAGAGGTTTAAGCTCTCAAATGTTGACCCATCAACCGCGTGCTTTAGTTTATACTCCTCCGGTCCTAATTATAAGACCCAATTGACTTATTTGAGGAGATTAAGGAATAAGGAAGTAAGTTAAGTTGGTTATTTATAATAAATAAGTGTTGTTATTCCTAAAATATTCTTTCTAATTAAATATATTGGCTAAAACTATCATTATTAGAAGGATTATCTTGGAAAAAAATGCAGAAATATAAGAGAGAAAATGGATTGGGTCTTATAATTAGGACCAAATAAAAAGTCAAACTGGGTCTTATAATAAGGACCGGAGGAGTATCTCTTATGGCCACTATTCTTGCTTTAATTTACCTTCAAAATTGCCTCTATTTCTACTGGGGGCTTTAAACAGGAAGAAGAAAGCTAGAAAACACTGCCGTTTTGGGTGCAAAACGAGGGGGCCTGATTGCTTTTTTTTTTTTTTTTGTATTTTGAAGTTTATTGGATGTCACTAAAATAATATTCTATAATACTGGGCGTAGCAACAAAAAAAATTTTTAGGATATTAGAAAAATTATGAGAAACTCCGTGAGAAGAGAGAGGAGTCTGCAAGAGTTGCCGCATCAGCTTGGCGTGGTGTATTTTTTGGTCAGAATTTTTTATTCAACAGTCAACCCGAACCATAGAACCACGTTGCTACTTTTTGGATGTTTTCAGGTTGATATTGAGCCACCTTTCGGATATCATGGCTCCTTACAAGTGAATTTTTTATATGTTTATTATCATTTTAAGAATTCTAACTAATTTTAATTATTAAAAGTAATTTATTTATTATGAATAAGACTTAGTTCAAGTCACTAGGGGCCCGTTTGGTTTCCTTGCGCATGAGGTAGAAATGCAATGCATTGTAATGCAATCCGTAATGTATAACGTATGCAATCTTGATTACCATATTTTAGTTTAGTATGATAATAAAGGGATGGGGGACAAAATTAATTTTTCAATCAATTTAAATATAAACATATGTGAAATGGCCAAGATGCCTTGAAAACTTTTCCCCTTCCCAATTTAGTAGGCCTCCATCTTCACCAATAACCATAATTTCGGATTTCAAGAGAGTACCCATTCAATTGATTCTATAAACCTTTCAAGATTTCTTCCATCATTCATAACCAACTTGTCATTTGACTCACTGTAGTTGATTTTTTCACTTGGGATCAAATCCGCTAAGCACCTGATCCGATCAAATAATAATCCTAAAAAATATGCCCAGTCAAATTAAAACCACAAACCCACATTATTGAGCAAATCCACAAACTCGAACCCAAATTGAAAACTAGACGAACATGATGATGGGAGACCACAATGAAGTGGCAATGAAGAAAACTCTAGTGTATGGGTTTCAATAAACATTAAATGGCACATAGACCATTGATGAAGATGAAGGAGGTGAGGAAGAAAGACGTGTGGCCGGTAATAATGGTGAAGAGATGTTGCTGATAATAATTATTGACAGTAAACATCGTCTTTTCAACTAGGTTATTGAGGATAAAATTGACATTTTGTAAAAGATTCCATACATGCAATAAGTATTCATAGGGGACAATCTTAATTACCACCAATAAGCCCAACCAAAACAAGTTATCTATGATAATGTAATAAGGATTACTATTGCACACCTGTAATGGAGTTGATCCAAATAAGTTCTAAATTCTTTGATCACACTTTAACATGTGCCTATTTGTTTTTGTTATCATCATTTAATTCTAAACTCTCATGAAAAAATAGGACACATGATAAAATATGATTGTAAAACTTGACATAATAATTGATCTTGGTTATGTTAAGTTCTGCAATCATAATTTGCCATATGTCTTATTATGTTTGATTTTTAAAATTTCACTTTATTTTTTAAACTTATGTAAACTTATTATTTAGTAATTTTAAAAAATCAAGTCGAGTTGTTAGGGAAAACAAATAATAAAGTCAAATTCCTTATCATTATAATGTCAAATTCTCCAATCACATATTAACACGTCTCATTTATCTCCATATCAAGAAACCTAACTTAAATATTATTATCCTTCTTAAAAACTAAAGAGGAGATGCGTGTTATATAATTTTTCATTTCAGTTATCCATGCGCATCTGGGGCGAAGATAGGGAAAACACTTCTAATAAGATCACACGCACGGGGGACTGACACAAAAGTATATAAAGATAGCAAAAATATTTACAAAATATGTGATCAAATAGTTTATATATTAAGTGGAAGTGACATTGATAAAAAGGATAGCGAAGTAAGAAGCACAACTTGGAAGAGGTTAAACTTTAGACTCAAGGGGCATTTCTCATACATACACACGCATGTACAGTTCGTTTATGCTAATTATAATAAATACTCAACTTGATCACGTAATCATAGTCAATTATTTAAAAGTAAAATCGAATCTAAAAGACAGCCAACATTTGCCATATAAGCTTTTTTCCATTTTATCAATCATAATGCAAAAATATTCAAGAGATTTTAAATTTCTAACTCCACATTTATGACAGGGTCATCCAATATTTACCGTATATAGAAGCTTCTATCATTTGCCACCCAAAGACTATAAATTGAAGATATAACTTCAGGTGATGCGGTGATCACTTAATTTTAGTATAGAAAACATCAATAACAGAGACAACCAGATGAGTAAACACATCAGGCGGGGAAAAAAAAATTCAGTACAAGTCATCGAGGATTCATGTTTATGCTTCAAGAAAAATTTCGGGACAACGAGTGCACACAATTAAGAAGTAAGGATGCATAATAAGCAGGCTCAAACCAATGTGAATTGGACAACAATATGAAGCAAATAAGCGGATAGAACGCCTTATGACAGTTCCCATCTGTCTCCCAAATCTGCCTGTGATCGAAATAATTCAACTCCAAGGCCGCCGGACTTCAGACGATTGACAGACGTATATATACACACAAAAGAAATGACGGAATCTATGGACACAAACATCACAGTATCCAATGTCCAAACTCAATGGCAGCATTACTTTCAGTGATGCTGATACTCGGGGTTAAAAGCAAGAGCCTCTCGATATATCAACTCCTTCATCTGTTCCTCAGTCAGAGCATGTTGCTCAAAGTCGAAGCTAAACGGAGTCATGCACACAGGTTCATCACTGATGTCATGCAAAGATGTCAAGTAGGGATGTGCCAGTGCATCTTCAACTGGGCGCACACACACCGGAAAAAAAAAAAAAAAAAAAGCGCTCATTAAGCCATGGGGCAATACGTGCATCTCAGCATTAGCTCTCAGAACACGTGTCAAGGGTAAGAGACTACCATAAAGCATATACTTGTACTGAAAATAGAGTGCTAATCCTTATTCAACTCAATAGCAACAGTATAGGCTGAACATTTTATACTGACAAGTCAATCCTGACATTCTGCATTAGTACAGCATGGATTTCAAGTATGTAGGGGGCTAACTGGAAAATTTCGAAATTTCTGCATGACTGTAAATATACAGGTGTGTTGCACTAAGAATAAATCAACAGAATTTATTTACCATCTCTCTTAGTGAAAGTAAAATCACGTATGGAAAATAAAGAAAATCAAGTTTATCTTAACTACCGCATACAGTATGCAATAACAGGTTTAAAAATGAACATGGATGAGCATCCTCCATCTTGTATTCAAGAGATGGTGGATGCTGAAAGTATTAGCCAGGTTTCTTTTTCTTCTTCTACTAAAAGCATTTTATATACATTATCCTATTTTGATTCAACCAACAAAAAAAAAAAAATCACTAAATAGAGCAGACCCATCTTGTACATGAATTGTGGATGAAAGAGTGCATCCAAATTTAATCTAATCACCAAGAAGATTCAGAGATAATTACCCTGTCTCTAAAGTGAAATTTGAAATAACGGTTTCAATTGGCATGAAAAAGATCAGATTTTAATGCATTCAATGGCCAAAATAAGGATTAAAATAATTAAGTAATCCAATAATAAAACACCAAAAT